TCTCTCTCTCTCTCTCTCTCTCTCTCTCTCTCTCTCTCTCTCTCTCTCTCTCTCTCTATACTTCCATCTCTCTATGTTACAGACGTTGTTATGTATCAATGTGACAAATCATGGATTATTCGTCAACGGCGACAAACGACAGCGTATGATAAGCATACGATGCACACGAAAAATTGAAAGAAAAATAAAAGAAGACGCAAAAACTGTGATCGTTATGGCATCTAACGACACACTACGCAGCACACAAATATTCCAGCGACAATGCTAAACCGTATCATTTTTCCATCTATTTTTTTTCTATTTTTCTCTCTTTATTTGCGCAATGGTACTCGCACGACTAAAACGTTGATTGTACTTGTGTAATATCAATAAACCATGCGGCGCTTAAAACTGCCGTTACACATTGGCTTTTTTGCGTTGACATAAATATATAGATGAATAGAGAGGTACACAAATTTATAAATTAGTTAATAAAATTTACAAAATATGTGTACTCGCGTTAGCACCTTTAAACTCACGTTAGTTTATCTGTAATCACGGAAATATTGTAATCTCATTTATCGCGCATAATTATGTATATCAAGACTTGTATCTCGTATATACAAATATAACGAGCTTAAAAAGGACAGAAGATTGCAATAGGCTTTCACATATCATACACACAACATACACACTATTAACGGGAACGTTTAAACTAGTCGCTGGCTTGCTTATCGCTTGTGTAAGAGCAAAACTTTCGATGCGTGTATTAGAAAGTGCTTATCTGAACAGCATTTTCGTAGGAGGTGAATTACTATTTTTTTCTCGATAAATCAAACGCGAGTCAAGCTCCGTATATGAGACAGCGGATCTTCCGACAACGCAAACCGAGATGAATCACGAAAACGGATTTCGTCGCAAATTGTCGATGTACTTTAATGACGTAACGCGAGTCAGGAAATCTCCCGTCACGAAAAAATCAAACGATTATGGGTGTGGCAACGCGATGCTGCAAACGCTTTGAAGCGACCATTTTTTTAAATGGTCAATTTGTAAAATTCTTTCTTCTAATTGGATCGTCCATCAAATGTTTCAAAACATTATTACATTTGTAGCGAGACTTTAACCACAGCCTAAATTATCAAAGCATTGCGTTCGACTTAAAGGCATTTAAATACTTCTTAAGCCTCGCGTTTACGGTATCACACGTTGTTACGATTTTCGTAACACGTTATACTTATGGGGTGCACTTTTATCACCACGTAAAATCTGTGACGCGGCAATAAAACCTGTCCTGATTAAATTATTCAACGACCTGCTCGCGCGCACGTGAAAATACACGCGCGCGACAGCGCTTTTCAACGCGTTGGAATATAAAAATATCATTAATTTAATATCCTCTCACTCGAATTTCATCAGTCGAAACCAGAATGGCGCCCAGTGTCATTAAAATATTTAAGCGTATGCAAGAGCATTCATCGTAACAATACGTATTAAATATACAATTTTCCAAAAATAAACTTTTTAATTTCACATATTATCCGTGTAGTTTCTTTTAACTAATAATTAGGAGAGAGTATAAACAAAGAGAAAAGTTAAATAAAGAACTGACGATATTTATTAATTAATAAATCTTTATTAATTATAAAAAAACATTTCAGTTGCTTGATAAACTGACTATAATAATTAACATTAATTTATTATTAATATAAACATAAACTATAATTTTAAACAAAAAACAGAATCTTATTGCCGTTTAAAATTATATTCGCCGTCACGAGACAGTGCTGAAACAGTTGTTTATTTACAATTTATAATTTATATTAATAATATATAAATGTCAATTATTGTAGTTTAAAATAAATATCCTTTAAATAAAGACATTTGTAATTGATAAATAATTGTCGGCTTTATGTAACTTTTCCTTTGAATATTCGCAATTTTCCTACATCAAAATCATCAAAAACACATAATGATCTTTATCTTAATTATCTTAATAATCTTTATTATCTTGGCGTATGCATTCTATGATTACGTACTATATGCAATACTATATGTGTATCGGATTATCAATGGATGCAAGAAAGGTTATACTTTAATGTATTATATTATAATAGTATTGTTCGCATTTACCTCGTGTTCGCAATTCTCCCATTCTCCCCTCGCGTGAGATGTTTCTTTCACCTTAACATTATATACCTCAACTGTTCTCTGTAATTATATACAATTAAATAAAGATCAATAATATTCTGTATGTCCTTCAGATAAGAAAATAAATGGAAAAAAAAAAAAATTTTTTTAATTGCAAAATAATTTGCGTTAAATATAATGAAGTGTAATAAATAGTGTTGTAATATACGTATAACACGTTTAATGAATTTATAAGGCTGGAGTGACCTGGATACTTCACGCGAGTAATGCAGGGTTAAATCTTTAACCTTAAGAATTGAATCTTTAATAAAATGTCATTATACATTTTTTATGATTTTTCTATACTATCGTATTAGAGCCCGACTGAAACTTTTATTGAAATTGAAAATGAAGACTCATTATGTGAAACTATATAGCTCTTCTTCATAAATATTAATTTTAATATGTAATTATTGTTTCAATAATTAAATTATGATTTTTATGAAGAAGAAATACTTATATTCTTTGGCCAAACTTATATTCTTTGAAATTTCGCTTTTCTATTTCAGCCGAAAAATTATTATTTCAATAAATTATAATATTTATGAAGAAAAAATGTACGATATATAGACATGTTTATATATATGACCTTTATAGGATTCCTTAATTTTTAATTTTGGTTTTGATTGAAATTGACATGCCGAATGTTTCGATTCTGTTTCGATCGGAGTCTACATTGTATCTACGATTACGCATCGTTTCTTTTCTTTTTTGTTTGAGAAAATCATATTAATTTCCTGAAAAATGTCCTACAAATTGATTTTCTCAATTGCGCGAAATGCAACGTTTATTTATGATAAGCAACTTTCGCACTTTAAATTTTTGGGAGTAAAATTCACTTCCAAAAAATGATAGATGCGCCAATCCGATAGGAGTGAAATTTTCACTCTTAGAGAGTAAAGAATCATTCCAAATGGGAGTCAATTTTCAATCTATATGGAAAGTGAATAATTTCACTCTGATAAATGTTAGATTTAGCTTCCCCCTATCATCTAATCTGAAAATTATTAGGCTCTTTTATCATGTTTTTGCACAAAATGAATGAATATGATAGAAAAAAGCGTCGCTCTGTCAAAGCGAAACATTAATCGTTAAGCGAGAGATTAATCATTAAAGTTGACTTTTTAGGTTTGATTAAGAAATTCACTCCTGAAGGAATAAAGTGAAGTTTAATCCTTGCCGAACTGTGATACAACTATCACTTTTCTTGGAATGAAATTTCACTCCCAAAAATTTAGAGTGCGGTTTAGTGTGCGGCAAGTGATTAGAAGCTACATTTCAATGTACGCGAGCGCGTTGCTCCGCTTTCACCTGCAAATTCGGAGAGCTTTGTTACCTGCAAGACCACGTTTCGTGAACGTACACCCGATTCCGCGATCGCCGCTTGCGTTCTCAAACCCAACGGCCTGATGATGCGCCTGTGTAAACACACAAAGCAGTCCCTCCCCCTCCTCCCCCCCCTGTTCTCCAGTGGAACAGTGCGACGTAAAAGCAGCATCGCCACGAACAATGAACGGATGCTCTCCGAGCGAGAAAATAAATCAGCGAATCGCACATGGGCCTTTCGCCCCGTTTTACACACGCGTGCCTTAATCGTTCTCTATAGTTGCGACACGCGATAGCACACGCCTTCGTCATGCGGCATTGATTAGAATAACTATCTCCCCGCCTCCAGTTTTCATCTGGAGTAGTGCTCTTCAAGAAGTTGCTGCAGACCGCGTTATAACATGTCCTCTATTACAATATTAAGTAATTACGCGTAGCGTGACACTGCGAGAACTAATTTTGTAACGAGCACGAGGAAATTTTTTTTTTATCCGAGGAAATTTGTAAACATCCTACATTTCTATGCATCTAAAGAATTTTTAATTTTTAAATATAATAATCCATCATATATTTTCTGAATTTTATTATTATATTTCGTCTCCCACGTTTCCATAACGTCATTTCAATCGCGTTGAAAGCCACGAAACGAGATGGAAGCGGGTCCGTTGGAACACGAGCTAACGTCACGATAAAAATTGCAGTCTCCACTTCAAACGAAAAATTTCCCCCGACAGAGCGAGATGTAAAAGGGGCAAAAATACGCGCTCAGCACAAAGGATACAAAGTAAAATTTTTGATGACAAAACGCAAGGAAATCGTGTCGAATCATTGCCCGATTTCCACATATCTGAGCTAATTTCTTGCATCAAACAAAAGTCGCTCTTTTGTGCATCGCATGTAAAGCGTCTGCATTCTTCCCAGAAAAAGTAGCTTTGCAACTATAAAATTCTTTAATATGATTGATTTATACATTTAAATCGAGTTGAGGAATTAATTGTAAGACTAATTGTGTTAAAAAGATGTTAGCGTCAACCGTTTTACCTACAAAAATACCACTTCTGTTCCATATCAATTACTTCATACATTAATTTCAGAGAATTAAAATTTTCACGATTAACGACATATACATACTAATATATCTGACTCCGGTATTTTGCAAAGCAGGAAAAAATAAATTATAGATTCTTTTTACCTGAATATGGCGATCAATGCCGTCGATCGATTTATGAAAACATTTATTTCGTGGAAATATTATGCAGATTTTATAATCGAAATAAAGACAGAACTGGATGTAAAATAAAAAAAATGAATATACATAAATCATTAGAATTAAATTTAGAAACTTAAAATATATTTTAATGTACAACAAACTGTGTATACG